TTGAGCGCCGTCAGAACAATGTTCTTCAGGAAAAACTCCGAGGCAGGATTTTCCTTTTCCTTTAACAGAACGAGGGAAAAAATGCCAGGATGCTTGTGAGAACTCTGGGGATGTGGCTGAGCTCAGGATCCAGCCGTGACTCCATTGGTCTGCATCCATCGGGGTCCCCAACTGCCCCCTTTCCCCCATCACCTTCCCGCAACCCCCCTGCCGGTACCTGCTGCATTTTGACCAGGAAGCAGTCGATGAAATCCCGAGGGGCGTTGGGATCCAGGGTCTCCTGGTTCGCCTTCACCTTCCTCTCGATGAACTTCTCCAGCCCCACCAGGTGCTTGAACGCTGCGCGCTGGGGGCCGGGCAGGTAGCGCATGGTGTCCGAGAACATCTCGTAGAGCTGTGGGGCAGGGAGAGCAGAGACCCCGCTGAACAGGGGGTGGGGTTGAGAGCCCCCATACACATCCTCTCCCTATGCCTCCATCCCCGGACCTCCCTTCTAGCTCTTTATCCCACAACCATCACTGCAGAGCTCGTCACGCTTCCTGGGCTGTCTGGAGAGTCCCTAGTTAATCAACTCTCCCGCCTCACCCCTGCAGCCTGGGCCGGGCAGGTCTCAGGGCCCTGGGCCTCACAGCCACAGGATCCCAGCAGCGGTCGCACCACCAGTGCCAAATCCACAGGTAAAACCACCTCTCTGCTCCTACTGGAGATTCCCCTGTTGATCCCTCCCAGGATCGCATTCGCTCTTTGGGCCCCAGCGTCGCGCTGGGAGCTCACGTCCAGCTGATGGTCCACCATGACCCCCAAATCTTTTTCAGAGTCACTGCTTCCCAAAGCAGAGCCCGCCATGGCATGAGTACGGCCGACTGTCTTTGCTCCTGGATGGATCTCTTTACGTTTAGCTGTACTAACATGAACGTTGTTTGCTTGTGCCCAGCTTATCAAGCGATCCATGTCGCTCTGTACCAGTGAACTCCCCTCTTCATTATTTACTCCCAATTTATGTGCCATCTGCAAATGTTATCAGTGATGATTTGATGTTTTCTTCCAGGTCATTGATAAAAGTGTTAAACAGCATAGGGCCTTGAGAAACAGACCCACTCGACGATAACACCCCCTTTGCTATTACATTTTGAGATCTATCAGTTAGCCAGTTTTTAATCCATTTCATGCGGGCCGTGTTCATTTGATTGCTTTCTAGTTTTCTAATCAAAATGTCACGCAGTACCAAGTCAAACGCGTTATAGAGATCTGACTAGATTCCATCAGCACTATTAACTTCAACCACACTTGTCACCGCCTCAAAAAAAATCCCAACTTAGTTTGACAGGATCTTTTCTTCTACACCCACATTAATTTGCATTAATTACATTTCTCTCCTTGCATTCTTTATTAGTCAAGTCCCGAATCAGTCACTCGCCTGCGATCGATGTCAGACTCACAGGCGATAACTACCCGGATCATCCCATTTACCCATTAGCTCTTTGCCAGTTGTCTGGAACTTCCCCAGTTGAGTTCCCAACAGCCCCGTATTACAAGGGATGTCCCTTATTTCATGGTGTGTCCTGTACTCAGTCAGTCCGGGATGCTTTCTCTCCTGTATTTCAGCAGCAGGGGGCCAGTACTCCCGGGGGCATCTTTCCACCCCTCTCCAGACTTTGCGCACGGTCCCGTCTGCTTTCCCTGTGCAGGCTCTGTGTGCCGTAACGCTGCACTGAAGGGCCAGGGTCAGGAAGGGGGGCTGTCTGGTGGGAGGGGAGGGGTCAGTACACCCCGGGGTGTAGCCTAGAGTTACCACCTTTGAACTGCACTAAAACCCGGCACCCCCACCCACAAGGCAACTCTGCAATCGCCTTCCAACAGCCACTGCTAGCATCCAGAGAGAGCATGTCACGGGGGGGCAAGCAGGCGTTTGTTTTCTCAGCACGTTTTGCCAGCCAGTCTTTGCCAGGCTGTTCCGTTTCGCCAGCTGTCACTGAATGTGCAGTTTCTGATGCGAGCCCTTTTCCCCCCGGGGGTGTAGTAGGATCACTCGCACCATCGCCCTGACCTGCCGCTAGTCAATATGCCTCGCACGTCTCCTCCCTCTCTCGCACGCCCACACGGGGCACTGCGTGTGGGTGGGCAGACGGCTACCGCCGTTTCGCCGGGTGTGATCTGTGATCAGTTTAACTGCGGACATGGGAGAGCGGCAGCATCTTTAGCCGGGCCCAGAAACGTTTAACAGTAGAGAGCCCGGTGTATTGGGAGATTAATGCAAATCTTTAGACCCATGTAAAAAAACCAACCCCCCCCCCCCCCCACAAACCAGTAGGTTAAATTATTTTTCTGGCAACTGGCAAATCCATAAAAACCCCAGCCAGGCTGGTAAAACACCAGCCAAGTGGTAACCCTGGTGCAGTCTGCCATCGTCCCCAGCAGCAAGAAACACTCCAGGCGAATGTAGGTGAGTCCTGCTCATGATGAATAATCTCGGGATGGGGCGAGGGGCGATGAAAGCAGCCCCTTAGTTCGGAGATACAGTGTTTGCCGCCCTACCGCCAGCCTCGCTGGAAATGGCCCGGCGAGGGACTTAGCCGGCTCTTTTGAAACTTTCGCTGTGTGATCTGTCTGGTCAGACCCGGTGCAGTACAGAATTCCTCGGGGCTGGCTGCAGGACTGGGGGCATTAGGAAACTCATCTCGCCATGCCCGGGGTGTTTTCGTGCTGCAGCGTTTGCCTCTCAAACTCTTGTCCCCCAGAATCATGCTGTGCTTTTTCCTACGCCAGCTAACGCCCCCACTTGTGCTTTCTCTGGGACGTGGCCTGGGGCGCTCCCCCGCCCCCCCCCCCCCGCGGCGTACCTGCCCCCAGGCCGTGGCGGTGAACTGGAAGCTGGCCATCATCATGTGGAGCAGGGAGATGAACTCCTTGTCCTCGTAGTCGAACCGGTCCCCGAAGACCACGGAGCTGATGATGTTGGACACCGTGCGGCTCAGGAAGTAGGTGGGGTCAAAGGGCAAACCTAGGGGGTACAACCAGTGTTGGGTGGGGCACAGGCGAGCCAGGGGGCTGTGCCTCAGACTGTCTAACCTCCATGGATCCCACAGCCCCCCCCCAGTCGCTCCTGTCCTGATCCTGCAGCCGCTCCCTGCCTTGTTCACACCCGGCTCAGCACCGTACTGAGGCAACGAAGAGGCCTGGGGGAGAACTGGCCCAGCCCCCGTGAGCGGCTCTGCTGCTGTCTGCCCCCATGGCCGCCACGGTCCCTCCCTTCCCCACCCCCCTGCGAGGCAGGGCAGGGCTATCCGACGGGGAACGGAGGCCCAGAGAGACTAAGCACCGGTCAGACAGGCAATCTTCGGCGGAGCAGGGAACTGAGCCCACACCTCGAGTCCTGGGCTAGAATCCCACTCACTAGCCTTCGGTAGGGCCCCGCTCAGCTCCGCGACTCAGTTTCCCCATCGGCGCAGTGGACATTATGACACTGACCATCTTTGCAAAAGTCCACAGGTAAGAACCTCCGAGTGTAACTGATGTCGAGGTCAACAGAGCGAAGACAATTCGCACCAGCTGGGGGTCTGGCCCCATTGACTGTAACGGAGCTCTGGGCGGTTC